GAGGGTCTGTTAATATTTTTTTTTTTTACCTTAAAACTATCCATAATAATATGATTGTGCCAAAATGTTTCCAGAAAATGTGCATTACTTTAGCATTGTTGGCACAAGGAGTTTATGTAAATAATGTAATTTAGTACCTGGGTTTATATGTGTAATTAGTTGTAATAACTTGTGTTTTAAACTAATAAAATATGTCTGAAAGCTCATTAGTGCGCTGTCTTTTTTAATGAATTGGAAGCAGTAATGTCTTATTTATGAATTATGGAGCTTGAACGAGTCCTTACAGGTAAAATGCAATCATTTGTGTTTTAGCTAAAAAGATATGTCTGAGAGCTCATCCTTATTCTGCATAGCTCAATAATGCATCTTAATGTGCATTTTATATTCCTTTCATTTGGTGCAGAATACTTTACATGTCAGATCATGGAATTAAAATGGTTTGGAAACGGCATTTAATGCGAAAAGGCACAGTTTCTCTGAAAAGGTCTGATTTGAAAAATGATATTATAACTGTGCAATGACCTAAATGTCTGTTCGGATTAAATCACTCAAGGTTAAGAGTCTAGAGCAGAGCCCAGGTGGCATCACGTTACAGGTTGCATAACAAATAGGATCATATCAAAGTCAGATTACATTCAAAGCAGAGAGATATGCAAACAGGTTGGGTTGAAGTCATCTGCAATGCAAACGGTGTGCTGCGGTTAGTGCAGGCCAGCGAAGGTGCACTGCTAGCGTGTGACCTTTAGGGCTGTGCAGTAATGATGCTTTAGGTACAGTCAGGTGAAAATATATGGCATTTGAGTCAGCTGGTTTCTTTGCATTGTGTTTGCATTCCTCCAGCTGAGCAAAGATTAACCAGCAGCGTGGGATGTCCTGCTTTTTTTTTTAACCTCCGTCTGCGGAGGAGGTATCGTGTTGAGTTGCCTCCCCCATCAGCTGATTCTACCTCATTTTCTTCCCCTTTTCTATTCTTCTATGCTTTGGCATTTCTGCACTGCATAAAATTGTCTTCTTATTTGGTATTTTTGTCTTCTTTTCCAGTACAACTATTGAAATTTTCGATGTTGATAAGCAAAATGACATATAATGTTAAGTCGTGTTTTCTGAAAAATCTTTTAAAATTAGGTGAGTTTACGTATAAAGGACTAATTCACCCAAAAATGAAAATTTGCTAAACATTTACATCCATGATGTAGATGAGTTTGTTTCTTTATCAGAACAGATTTGGAGAAATGTAGCATTACATCACTTGCTCACCAGTGGATCCTCTGCAGTGAATGGGTGCCGTCAGAATGAGAGTTCAAACAGCTGATAAAAACATCACAATGATTCACAAGTAATCCACACAACACGGTCCATTAATTAACATCTTTTGAAGTGAAAATCTGTATGTTTTTAAGAAATCCTTTAATAAGGCCATTTAACCTTAAATCATTGCTTCTGGCCAAAATTTGAGTCCATAATAATCCATAATAATGCTTTCTCCAGTGAAAAAGTCCATCCAGTGTTGTCCTCTCACATCAAAATCCACACATTTTTTCACAACTGTTTTGGACTGTTTTCTCTTGTAAATGGTGCTTGATCCATGCATATTTCTCTCCTGATTCGGACTAAACTTTATGGATAGAGAACTTGTATTTTAGCCAGAAGCCAGCATTTGAAGTTAAAAACAACGTAATGATTGATTTGTTTATTACAAACATGCAGCTTGCGTATTGCTTAAATTTCTTGTGAATTATTGTGATGTTATCAGCTGTTTGGACTCACATTCTGATGGCACCCATTCACTGCAGAGAATCCATTGGTGAGCAAGTGATGTGAAGCAAAATTTTCATTTTTTTGGGGTGAACTCCCTTTACAGCCAGAAAAAAACAAAATAGAAATTTAACTTGATTTCTTTTTGAATTAATTTTATTTTTCTTACCCCGTTGATTTTTTTTTAGTTGCTTCATGCTTAAACTCTCTTAATTTTGATAAATATATCAGAAAATAAGACTCAATCATTTTGCTTTAAGAATGTTTGGATATTTGCACAGAAAAACACATTAAAATGGAAAAATAAGATTTTTTTTTTTTTGCAGTGGCAGTTATCCAGTCTCTTGTTTGTTTATTCTCAAAGTCTATTCCAGTTCCACCATGACTCAGAAAACTTTTTGACACCACTATAAGCACGGAGCGGAAAGGTTTGTGTGTTGTTGAATGTGTTAAATGTCTCACCACCAAAACCAAGAAACTCCTCCAGAGACTTTAATCGTCTTTTGCGTGGGCAGCACATCCTCTGTTTCTGAAAGGTCGCATTTGAGGGAGACCCCTCATTAATGTCACGGTGTAAAGATACTGTACTGGGGTTTATTTTCAGAGATATCAAAACCAAACGGAGTCCCCAATCTTCACCTCCTGTGAAGAAAGAAATGTTGGTGCTTTCCGCAACCCACCAGCCTCTAAATCGTGTACTCGCAGATAGTGACTAAGCTAGATATTGCACAAAAATATATGAGAAATAAAAATAGATTTCTTTCAAAACACGGGTGATGACAAAATGTGATTCTGCATAAGAGACAGTATTAGGAAAGAAGCCCGCTTTCTTTTTTGCTAAATTGCAAGCAGCAATATCTGATCTATGAGTTATGAGCTGGATTGAATGAGCTCTTAATCTGAAACATATTTTTTGTCTGGAAGATAATCTTCGGCATCTGCTTGACAGATGAATTTAGGTCACCGAAAGTAAAACATTACACCTGTTGATAATAAGGATAATGCCACGTTTCATTCCATGACAAACAAGTATGTGTTTTACGATCCAGTTGTTCAAACTGTCATCTATGTTATGATGTATTGCTACCACCATATTAGCCTTGTGCGTCTGTTTGAGTGTTGATGCATCAATTACCAGCTGATCTTTATCTGTATCAGTCATTTCGAATGGCTTTATTCCTCTGCGGGGTTGCCTCAGGCATAAATCTATGCACCGGTGTGTGTGTGTGTGTGTGTGTGTATGAATGAGACTGTGTGTCCACAGGGAGGGGTTTGCAAGCAAAAGCTTGTGCATGCACATATTTGCGTGCAAATGTAAGATCTCTGAGAAATGCTAATGCCGATGCGGTATATGCTCTCTGTGGACATTAAGCATTGTCATATAGACCAGTGTTGTGCATACACAATGAATGATGTACCCCTCCCTCTCTTGTTGAGCTGCAGAGCTGATTACTCACAACCTTGACTTTCAGAAGGAGACTCGAATCTTGCAAAGAGCCCTGCAAGCAGTGTTTTCTAAGAACAGAATCATGCATTGCAATCACTGCAGGTGTAAATGTGCATATGTACATTTGCATATTTTCTTGCAAAATGATTACAAATATACTGAGATTTTTGAGCATTTAATTTCAAAAGCATTGGGATTGATATCAAGTATGACTGTGTACATTATTTTATGTAATTGTTAGTGTACTGAGATTTTTGAGCGTTTCATTTCAAAAGCATTGGGATTGATATCAAATATGACTGTATGCTTTATTTTATGTAACTGTTAGGATTGTGTGCAGCTGAAACCTGTTCATTAGAGGAGGTTGTCCACATACCTGTGGTTGTGTAAAATACCTTATAAAGTATTAGTAATGACCAAATGCAATATATGAAATAAAGAATGCATAGCCAACCCGGACTGCACAAAGATGCATTTCTATACACATTCAGTAATACTTTACAATACCATTTGTTAAATACAACCTAACAATGATACATATATACATAAAAAATGCATTATTATAATCTAATGTTGCATCTGTTATTAATGTTTAATGGATCTAAGCTAACATGAACTAACAATGAACAGTTGTTGTTTTTTTTATTAACGCGGCAACATTTTACAATAAGGTTTCATCTGCAAACATTAGTTAATGCCCTAACTAACAAGAACTAATTAATGAATAATATGTTTTTACACCATATATTAACCTTGTTAATTTAGTTATGTTCATAGTGCATTCATGTTAACAGATACAACTTTTGATCTAAATTTTTTTTTAAATAAATGCTGATATTAGCAAGAACTAAGATTAATACATGCTGTATACGTTTTATTCATTGTTAACTCATGTTAATAAATTAAACCTTATTGTAAATTGTTTCTGCATATACTATTTTTGGTAATGCAAATATTTTTTGAGTGGGTCAGGTTTTACATTAGGGTGACGGTCGCTCTATTACACTAATAAATCCCTTGCTATTTACTTTCTTACTAAATGCCCATCAGAACATGATATTTAAGCTAGCCTATATGTATTTACATGTGTAAACAACAGATGGAAAGTGAAAAACAAATACATTTGACCCCTATATGCATCTAATGACAAATGAATCAAAACTCCCCATTAAAATAGCCAAATAAAAGGGAACTACACTCCTAAAAATAAAGGTTCTTTATTGGCATCAGTGGTTCTGTGAAGAGCCTTGCACATCTATGGAACCTTTCAAATGCAGAAAAAGTTCTTTATTTTTTTTTTTTTGAATTTAGGAACTGTTCACGGAAAGGTTCTTTTAGGGAACCAAAAATTGCTCTCCTATGGCATCACTGTAGATGTGTGTACAAAAAGTTGCCCACATGTTTCTTTTAGGGGTTAATGTATACTGGGAATTCAGATGAACCCCATCTCTCCAAAACAAGCATGCGTTCTCCTTTGCGTCCGCGCAGCGCAATCAGAATGCATGTCAAGCAGGCTGATGCCTTCCAGCAGGTGGAGCAGAGCCTCCGAGCCTCCATCACACCAACAGCTTGAGAGAGGCGACACTTCTCCGCCACTGGCGTCATCGTCCTCATCTCCAAGCAACCCCTCCATCAGCACTGGCGTCACCGCACGACGAGCCGCACGGTTGCTCGGCAACTTCTGTCTTGTGCGCTCGCGCCCCGCTCCGAGCTCTGACGCGAGTGTGACGTTAATGAGGCGGGTACCAGTGTTATGGCAAGAGGAGGAGAGGCGGAGCTCCTCATCACAGCACGAGCCTGTAGCGCTCGCCTCGCGCCAGCAGAGCTGCTCAAGAGCGGAGCCTCACCTTGTACATAGTAGCGCGCTCCGTACAACTGTGTATCGCTGTACATAGAAGACAGAGTAAAAACAAAAACAAGTTTTCCCCTCAAGATCTGCATAAGGAATGACTTGTCAATGCAGATTTAAAAAAGCATTTGTACTGTGGAAGGAGGTGGAATTTATTCGTGTGCTAAAGGTAAGAGTACCTTCGCTTTTGATATTTCCCATGACAAAACAGACATACACTTTGTCATTATATAGCCTACCTAGATTTGTTTTTGTTTATTTATTTTTAATTTGGCATTTCAAGGACATCTATGGACGCTTCGCGCTGGTTTGCCCTGTTAGCCCATTGTGCGTTTAGTCTGAAGTTTCTGGCTACAATTTGAATGACTGTTACATTGACATTAACTTGCTTTGAAGTGAGTTCAAATGTGTTATGTCAGTGCATCTTAAAATAAAATGTTTAAATATATTTATTCAATCATTTGGCCTGTAAAGTAATCGTATAGCTACTGTTTTGTGAAGGTTGTGATGGGATCGCATGTGTAAGAATTATTGTTAATAATGAATAGCAATAATAATGATGGTAAATGTGTCGTAGGATTCGTGCGCATTTATAACGTACGGTTTCTGGTTTATGCAGATAAATTAAAGTTATCGCTGCGCTTCGGCACACACAAACCGGCATCATGGTTAGAATGACGGACAGCAGCGCGGGCTCTCAGTCCAGCTGTGCCCAGGCCAGGCCTCTGCAGGTCGGCTTCTATGAGATCATCAGGACCCTCGGCAAGGGAAACTTCGCTGTGGTCAAACTGGCCAGACACAAAGTCACGAAAACACAGGTAAGTCTCCTGCAGAATGTTGAACTTTTTGCATAAAAAAAAAAAAAAAAGTTATTTTGCGTCTTTTGACATTTCCCTACAAATTAGTAAATAATCATCATAATAATAATAATAGCCCAATAATAATAATAGGGTACAATATTATGCATTGTACTGCTGCATTTCTAAATGAGCATTTTGTTGTATTTTTATGCAGGTTGCAATTAAAATAATTGATAAAACAAGACTAAACTCGACCAACTTGGAGAAAATCTACAGGGAGGTTCAGATTATGAAGCTGCTCAATCACCCTCACATCATAAAGCTCTATCAGGTAAGTTATAGGATTTGTAAAGTTAATAATGATGCTATAATTACAAAGGCTTCCCTGTTAAAATGCCTGGATTAATGTCAGTTAAACTGAGGGCGTGTTGTGTATTTTAGCATGATCGGTGACACAGAGAGAGTGTGGTTTAATGGTGAGTGAATGTCTAAGTGTTGGTCAGGCAAATGGTGAGGCGCTTTTCTCTAGAAAGTAGATCGGGATAGTGTGCAATGTATAAATAGACTGAAGTTACTTTCTTCCTGCATTCAGCTTCTGCATAGCAACTGTCCACTGCATTACACTGTTAAATCTGTTTTTCGTCAGGTTGCTGGTTTCATTGAATTAAAAATATATAATAGCTTACACCAAACAGAGTAATTTTAGAAGTAGAGAAAGATTCTGAAGGTAACAACTGCACGGTTTCTCTAACAATGGAACTTTATAGTTGCAATTTAGATGTTTTGAAGTGATTTGTTGGCTTTTTAATCACATTGTTTATTAAATGTTTTTCAAATGAGACTAATCTGTGTCCAAAATTAAAGTTTTTGTCTGGGAAGGAGACAGAAAAATGGAGAGTGTATTGGACATAAGGATACAGTGTCTAAACCTCCGACTTAATTAGCGCTGGTGAAAGTCAAATGCAATGTGTCTGCAGAGTCACGTGAAGCTAGCCAGAGGAAAAATCTCTAAGTACAATCTGATTTGATCCCTGAGCTTGCTTTGTCACCATAATTTGGCTCGCACTTTCATGCAAACAGTGGCAGGCTAATACATGGTGCTAATATGTCAGCACATTCTTTCTCTCATAGCCTGTACAATTTAAGTTTGTTTTGTTCAGAGATTAGCATTTTGCAGATTATACTAAGAACTGAGGTTGCAAGAAGCTAAAATCCTTGGGAATAACATCACACCTCACTTCTTTGCATCTGACCTCTCACATTTGTTAGAGACACAAGTTTTTGGGAAGTGAGCAGCAGCGATATGAGCTTGATGTGCCATTCCTTCAGCATAATCTTTCAAATTAATTAATTAAAACATATCCTAATGTCATCCAACATATAAGATGATGACTGCAGCATCAGTAAGAATCCTTCACGAAAGCGTCCTGGATTTTCAGCTTTCCGGGGTTGATCCCGGTTTAGTGTCAGATAACCTCAAACGTACCTCTCCTTTCACAACTGAAGCCCTGTTTATTTAAAGCAAAAAGCCCTTGAGATGAAAAATGTAGAACTAGTGACCTATGACCTCTCATGATAAACTGTTTCTGTTCTCATGCGCCTTGTACAAACAGTCCTTTTATTGCCTTTAGCTTCTCATTAATTTCAGACACACTGTATTCAGAACTATCAATAGTTTCCTTCACTCATCTCCCTCTGCATTCGTGACGGAAGGAGACGTCTCTGTGGGCCGAACAGGATGGGGTTTCTAAGGAAGCTATGACATCATTGGCACCTCTGGGTTGACACTAAAGGCTAAAGTCTTTGAATGCTGGGTTTATCTAAAGATAAAGACCCTTTTCCTGCTGTTGTACAGCCTGACTACGTGGGTCATGACACGTTATGTTACGCATTGACCTGAAGTATCTTAAGTCTGAGCGCTTATATGGATGATTACACAGGTTTTCTCAGCAGGAGAAAAAGAGGACAGAATAGAACCTGTTGTGCAACTCTTTCTGGTAGTGCAACATGCAGCGTTTAGTATTTCTCCCTCAGGCTTCCTCAGGGAACTTACGGGACATTCCCATAAAGGGTGAGGACATCATACACCCTCTCTTTTATAATTTCTTACAGTATTAATTGTTGAGCTACAGTTTCTTTTGTGTCACTGGATGCCTTTGTGCTCAAACTAGGTCTTATGTGTTGAACATTTTATGGTCCAAAAGAAACGGGTTGGTGAAGATAAAGTTTCAGCTGTCATTAGCTGCTTCAGTGGTACTGATGGATCAGACAGCAGGCATTTGAGAAAGACATGCGTATGTGTGTGTGTGTGTGTGTGTGTGTGTGTGCTCAGGGCATTCAGGAAATGCTTGGGTACACTCTTATGCAGTGGTACATATCGTTACAAACTGACCTGTCATGTATGAACAACAAAAACTATGATAGAAGTTGACAGAAAGAGGAAATTTGGTTTGAAAGAGAAGTAGAGATCAGACAGTTGGCTTGTTGATGCATAAAATGTACATTGACATGTCTGAGATTTAAATTATAATTTAAATGAGTGTATAATAAAACATATATTTTGTTGATTTTTTAATGTGTATATTACTGCATTATTAAACCATTTTAAATTGTTCTATATTTTATAAATTAACTTCCAATATTCAATGCATCTCTCAGTATTACTTAATCAAAGCTACATGCACAAACATTTTTAAAGAAATAGCAAAATGTGATAATTTGATAATGTGATTAATTGATTATTTTTTTAATTCTATGATGTTTTTTGTCTTTACAGGTCATGGAGACCAAAGACATGCTGTACATCGTGACAGAGTATGCAAAAAATGGAGAAATGTTTGGTAAGTGGAAACACTTTTGTAAATGAATGACTAATTAATCTGTGAAAAGACTGACGGGCGTCTATTGTTATTGACGTCTGTGGCTCTCCCAAAACCTCTTGTCCAGTTGATGTGGATAATGAGGTCTGACGGGGAGAGAATTATTTAGATCAACACAGCCGTCATAGCAGTGAGTCAGTGAGTGAGCACAGAGCGAGACAGGTGTTGGATTTTCAAGCTTTATGTAACTATGTAAAAGGGATAAGCTGCTCTACCTCTGCTTGTCCTCACCACCCAGGGATTTAACCAGTATAACATATCTGTCTCTTCACCTGTCATATACTCAGCCTTTAAAAAAAAACAATGGCTGTCTCCCCAGATAAACCGTAGGCTTGGTTCTGTCTTTATATGGTGTTTTTTAAGGCGATGTCTCCTCCCTTCCTAAGCCATCCTCTTTTTTACAGACTATCTGACGTCCAACGGAAGGATGAGTGAAAACGAGGCTCGTAAGAAGTTTTGGCAGATTCTGACGGCGGTGGACTACTGCCACCGGCACCACATAGTCCACAGAGACCTCAAAACTGAAAACCTGCTGCTAGATGCCAACATGAACATCAAGCTGGGAGGTGAGCAAAGAAAATAAGCTTTTAAGGGTTCACGTATTGATGTGCGCTGTTCATAAACACTTCCCATAGCCAGACTGTGAGTGTCCTAAAAATAAAGTAATTACAGAATTCACAGTTAGGATCAGTAATAAAATTAAGTAATCAAACCATTCTGATTCTCACAAGTCATTCATTACAGGGTTTTATATAAGAACTGTATGCCATTTACATGCAGTTTTATGAGTAATCGGACATTTCATCAACAAAGAATTCAATTCTCTTCCATTTCTTTCAGATTTTGGATTTGGAAACTTTTATAATGCCGGAGAGCCTCTTTCCACGTGGTGTGGAAGCCCACCATACGCTGCCCCCGAGGTCTTTGAGGGAAAGGAGTATGAGGGGCCACAGTTAGACATATGGGTATGTTTATCATTATGATTCTCACCTGATGTCTTACACAGCTGCTGAAAATGAAATTATAATTATAAAATGATCATTATGAAATTATAAAAGCACTGCTTAGCTGTTTAGCATTTATAAATTAACCAATTTCAATGATGCCATTATCTACTTTGCATTCTAAATTGCAGCTGGTCCTTTAGCTTACACCTATTTGAATATTGAATATAGTATAGAACACTATTATTTGCTGCCTTGCAAGCACTGGGATAAATGCAAATCTAATACATACTACAAATATGTCTCTTTCACAGAGTCTGGGTGTTGTTCTGTATGTGTTGGTGTGCGGGTCCCTGCCCTTTGATGGGGACAGTCTTCCAGCTCTGAGACAGAGAGTGACGGAGGGCCGCTTCAGAATACCATTCTTCATGTCACAAGGTACAGCTCTTCGCTCCCTCTTTTCAAATACAATGCTGTATCCTCATAAGAAAACCATTTTTGACTGAGATCTCCTTGTCTCCTTGTCCAGACTGTGAAAATCTGATTCGAAAGATGCTGGTTGTCGACCCAGCCAAGCGGATCAGCGTGGCTCAGATCAAGCAGCACCGCTGGATGCTTGCGGATCCCAGTGCGCCCCACCAGACCCTTTCCCTGTCCCTCACTGACTACAACTCCAACCTGGGAGACTACAGTGAACCCGTCTTGGGTATCATGCAGACCCTCGGCATTGACAGACAGAGGACTGTGGAGGTGAGAAAAGGGGCGCATACAATGGAGACGCGTGTCTCTATATATGTTGCAAACAGTTCCAGCAGGGAAGGGCGTGTTTACCAGAGCAAGGGTTAATGTTGTTCGAAGGACATCAATTGTCAATTTGTCACCTCAGAATAAAAACAACACCCTATCCAGCTTCCCATGGCTTTAAATATGTCCTTCTGTTGGCACAGAAAGGATAAACACAGTAGCATCTGTTTTGAAAACTGCCATGCTGTGTTGCTTTTAGCTTTCAGTAATATCCCTTAAGAAGTTAATTCTTGACGCAGGCTGCCTGCGTTTCACTACACCTGTTAAAGTGATGCTCAGTATTGTCACTGTGTCTAAAACAGTTTTTCGATTGCCTTCCACAGTCTCTCCAGAACAGTAGCTACAACCACTTCTCAGCAATCTATTACCTGCTGCTAGAAAGAGTTAAGGAGCACCGAAGCCAACAGCTGAGCCGCCAATGCGGGGCCTGGAATCAGAGGTCGAGGACGGCGTCCGATTCCTCCACCCCAGAGGTGAGTGTCGAAGCGAGGCCAAGACAGTCTCCTGTTTGAGATGAAATCTCCTTGTGCTAACTCAGCTCTTCCTCTGTCCATCTTACTTTCAAGGTGATCATGGAGTCGTCTGACAGCTTCAGAACCTCAGCCTTCCCTGTCGCCACCAAGGTGAACACTCCTGTACATTCAGAGCTGGAATGTGAACAAGGAGGCCTGTTTCAGGTCAGTACTTCTCTTGAGCTTGACGTAATCCCTCTCTAGACTAAGGGTGGGGAACTTGAGGTCCACTGTCCTCCAGAGATTAGCTCCAACCCTGATTAAACTTACCTGAACAAGCTTTGTGTTTGGGTAGATTTGGAGCTAAAATATACAGGACAGTAGACCTCGAGGACAAGAGTTGCCCACCCCTGCTCTAGACCCCTCTCTTCCTAGTTGCTCAGTAAATAGACTCCCTGTCCTGTTTCATATTGCAGATATGCAGTGCACCCCCAATCCATTAGAGACAGCTAATGTGAATGCCTCCCTCCCTTCCTCAGCGTGTGGTGTGCCCGGTGGAGGCCAGCCTGAATGGGCTCCTGTGGAACCGATCCATCTCCCCCAACAGTCTGCTAGAGACCACAATAAGTGAGGAGGTGCGACCTCATGACCTTGACGAGGAAGAGGGGATGCTGCAGGTCCAGCTGCCCCATTTGCCCAGCACCACCTCCCGAAGGCACACACTTGCAGAGGTCTCCGCTCGATTCCACCAGTGCAATCCACCTTGTAAGTGAAATGTTAATATTATGCTAAAATGAAGAACTTAATGCAAGGATCTGGTTGCTAATTACATGTCATCTTCTCTCAGGTATTGTGGTTAGCCCCTCGGACGGTGCTTCTTCTGACAGCTGTCTGAAGTCCTCCTCGAACACCAACCCGGCTCTCTCCACGGCTGTAGGGGCTCTTTCATCACTGCTTGCCTCCAATAGTGGCTCGGAGGCATCAGCCCCTGCTGGGATGCCCCTCGCTCTTTCCTCCAACCTCCTCTTGCAGAACCAAGGCAGTATGCTTGCAGCCAGCTTCCAAGAGGGGCGTAGGGCTTCAGACACCTCCCTAACACAGGGTGAGTTTCATTAAATAAAAAATGTATGTTAAAGCACATGTGCCAGCTTTATAGAATCACATGACTAAGTAGTTTCTAACCGGTCTGTGATTATTTCTGTAGGGCTGAAGGCATTCAGACAGCAGCTGAGGAAGAACACTCGTGCGAAAGGCCTGCTGGGGTTGAACAAGATCAAAGGTCTGGCACGACAGGTGTGCCCTCCGACCTCATGCTCCAGAGGCAGCCGGGGGTCTCTCGGCCCAACTATGTGCACTCCCTCAAGCCTCCAGAGCTCCAGCGGCCCCCGCGAGCATCGCAGCATGCTGGAGGAAGTTCTGCACCAGCAAAGGTGAGAAGAATTCCATAGATATCCCAGATTGCTGAACATTGGAAACATTAGTGTTTCCCAACACTGTTCATGGTGCCACCCCAGTACTCCAAAATTTTGAAATCTTCCTTATCAAACACACCTGAATCAGCTTATTAGTAGAGACTCCTAGAGAAAGGAGACATTCAAAATGTGTACTGTTGAGGTGCCTCCAGGAACAGGGTTGGTACATTTCTTGAATACACCTAAACTCTGTTGTTCTTTCATCATACAGGATGCTGCAGATCCAGCACCAGCTGCTGGAGGAAGTTCTGCATCAGCAAAGGTGAGAAGAAATCCATACATATCCCAGACTACTGAATATTGGAAACGTCAGTGTTTCCCAACCCTGTTCCTGGAGCTACCCCAGTACTCCACAATTTTAAACTCTTCCTAATCAAACACACCTGAATCAGCTCATTAGTATAGACCCCAAGACCTGAAATGGATGGATCAGATAAAGGAGACATTCAAAATGTGTACTGTTGGGGTGCCTCCAAGAACAGGGTTGGTAAATTTGAATAATAAACCTAAACTATGTTGTTCTTTCATACAGAATGCTGCAGATCCAGCACCAGCCTCAGCCCCAAGTCCAGTCTCAGCAGCCAGTGCTCTTCCTCTCGCAATTCCACCCCTCATCTCCTCCCTCCAACAAACTCTTCGCCCCCGCCACTCTCTTTTCCAACCCCCCGACTCAACCTATTCTCCCTCCATGCCAGCAGACCCCCATCACCTTCCAGCACAACCTGTGGCAGCAGCAGCAGTCTCTTGACTCCTCTTCCTCGTCCTTGTCTCCCGTGTCATCTGCTGCCCATCTTCTGGAGGCTCGTCTACACATCAGCCAGCGGCCACATCTCCACCCTCAGTCCCCACAGCACCTGCAGATCCAGTCCACCATCCCATCCCAGGGACTTTTCTCCTTCTTGCCCCATCAGGGCAGTTGGAGCCTGAGCACCAGCATCGAGCCTGAACCTGATGTCCAGGAGCTGGTCTGTGTTGGTCAAAAGCAGCAACTCAGCAGCTGTGTCATGGTCAAGTAAAGAAGGCTTTGAACACTTTGAAGAAGGTCTTAGAGTGATGCTGACTGCTTCCACCACTCTTACTCCAGAGTGCGCCAATGGTGTTGAGCATCAGAACTTGAAAGTATCTCATTATGATGATGCTCTCAATAGTTTTCTAATGCAAAGGAGAGACTCTCTCTGGACACACAATTCCATGATTGTGTCTACATGTGTTGGAATGACCAGAGAAAATAAGAAGAAGCAATAACCAACCTCTTCATTGAGCCCATGACTCTTGCCAGGTGCTCCTGTACACACAGCAATAAAGGACGGGTCGCTGAACAAGGAACTGAATAGTGTGAGTTTTCATCCATTTGTTAGTGGGTCCACACTATACGTAAAACTGGCCTCCACAATCGCGAATGATTATGTCAGAGACGCTTGTTTATCCTTGATACAAGTATGAAAATAAGACGTGATGTCTTCCTTATAGATCTTTCCAATGATTTCCTTTCAGATCCTTACATCTGTTTTACATCTCCAGAGAAGACCAAAGTTGATTGCTTTTTTGCCTCGTTGATTTCTTTCCTAGACGTTCTTGAAACAAAATGCAGTATCTGACTTATCCATACTTCCAAAACTAAGAAATAAATACTGTCATTTCACCTGTGATGTGAAAATATGCGCAAACTAGCCACACTATGCCTCCAATGATGTGGGTGCAATGAAGAGGCGCCTTAGCATAAGGGGAACGTCAAGACAAATGAGAGTAAGCTAGATATAAGCACAAGAGGTACTGCATAGTGTTTATTAGACCAGGTCTTTGGGTTTTTGCTGTCTGTGACAATGACTTTGATGCTGCTTCATGTTTAGTCACATGCATACAAAGACACTAGACAATTATGATCATACAAATGTGCACCTACCAATGACTTAATGAAATTAGGAGACATTGTCCGGCCAAGCCGTTCAGTTTTGGTCCATCAAGACTCCTCTTCCATCAGTTCACTACCTCCTCAATAACTGATCTTTCACCTCAAAAGGCTGTATCTCAACACACACTGTATGAGAAGTTTGGCCCATTACAATGTCTTGAACCCATGACCCTCGTTAATGGTGTAAATTAGCTTTTTTCCTTCTTTTTTTTTAAACAGTGAACAAAGAATATGAGTATAGTGCAATATTTCACATTGAAATGTAAAACCAGGAGAGGAAGCTGTTGTAGGAAAGCAAAAGGTACTTCATGCCTGATAATGCTATTTTATTCTTTCTTTTATAGAGCATGCTTTTTTCTGTTTGTAATGATTGTATGTACGAGATTATTTTAATAATGTATTCTGCATGAGCATAGGAAATAAGAGTCTGGCCATTTTGTACAGCTTGTTGACACAGGTTGCCTTTGCATCCAGGCTGGCTTTGTAGAACGGCAGAACTAGAAAAATTACAGGAAAAGCCAAAGAGAGAGCGCAGGGAAGATCAAGAGAAACATACACTTTTCTACAGATGTCACGTGGTGAAAAGCTCTCCTTTTATTAAAGTGTAGCACATTTAAATCTCCCAAAAGCAGTCGTACTGCTCAGATGTAAAAAGTAGCTGCCTCCTCTAGCTAACACATATTTGATAAGCAATCATTTTAGGTTCTCGCTTTCTCAGAAATGCCATGCATTTACATACTCGTATACTTTTTTTATATTAAAATGCACACACAGATGCAGACACACATAGCTGAAGATGTCTTGTAGCAATAGAGTTTAATTTTATAATGTTTTTTTTAGCTTACAATCTAGGTGCTAGAAGTAGATTTCAGAGGTGTTTCTGGGTTTGTGTGCAATTTAGATGATATAATCGTATGTTACCATTGTTGAAGCTCCATTTGCTTGAAGTTTTTATAGCTGTAAATGATCCTGTTGCATGTCTGTCTTTTGTGAATTTGACATATTTGTGCAATGGTTTTTAGTAGATTAGAAAAAAATCTGTACTGTGTTTCCAGATTGGGTCATAAAACGACAGTGTTTGAAATCAGTGCAGGTAAAGATGTGTTGAAGGTAAAGCTGTTGAAGGTGATGTAAGAAACAGTGTTAACTCCCCTTTCCTTTTACACCCACCACCAAACTTGTGCCTTGTCTGAACAAATCCAGTGGTGGTGATTTTTTTTTAAATTTTTTTAAGTTTTAGGATGTCAGAAAGCTGCAGAGTTGTGTATCTTGTGCTTTTTGTTAGTTCAAACACCCCATTTTATACTTTAATTTCATTTGCTGTTTGACAATTATGCACTTTATGATGACAGTTGCTTTTGAAAATAGTGTTTATTTCCACTGCAGGTATAGACAAGTCTGTAGTTACTTTTGAAACACTATGTTTTGATGCTGAACTGTTCTGTTTTGATTTTTTTTTGTTATATTTCCCTGATGTGCTTGCTTGCTGTATGTGTGATTGTACATGGCTGTGTGAAAGTATATGAGAGATGAAGTTTTATTTATGTGGCTATTTATTTGTATTAAAAAAATCAACTCTTGATATTTATTTCTGTGTTTAGATGTGTTTTTCCTCACATTTTGGGGGGGTTCCAATTGTTTTAATGGAATTTCACTTTTCTATTAAAGGTATCAATTTAAAACATCATCTAGTTACATAAAAGTATGAATCAGTGTTATTGAATAACTGATATTAAGCATGTTTCCTCAAAACAAAATGCCTATTTTTTCTTTGAAGACATTTATCATATATAAGATTATCAGGATTAGCTAAATGCATGATTATTATTTAACATGTACAAAATGCTATATACATATACCTAAATCCTGCAATGCAAAAAATCTTTTTTTTTTAATGTATGTTTATTTAGAGTCAAATATCTAAAATAACAATCATCATCTTTACATTTTTTTTTATTTCCCTTTTTTTCTTGTTTTAAGCTGTAACGATGAGGCTAAAGCAGAGTGAGAATCCATGTGCAGAAGTTTATTTGAAGGGCAATCCAGAATCAGCGTCAGAAAACAGGCAGTTGTCAAAAGTCAAACAGTTCAATTGGCAGCCAAAACAAAGGGAAAATCCAATAATCAGTAATAGAAGCAAACAGGCAAGAAGTCATACACAATATCAACAGGTAAGGGTAATAGAACGTTCGGTAAGGCAGTGAGACTGGCAATACTTATACGTATACAATACGCAGAGAGTGTTTGGGCAAGCCATGCATTATGGCTGCCAAACAGGAAGTCACCAACGAGGTAGCAGAGGGAGAGTGACAGTCAATACTCGGGCGAGGGCTCCCTCTGCTGGCCTGGCATTACAGAACCTCCCCATCTAGGAGCAACTCCTGGCGCTCGACGTGGACGTCACCGTGGTCGTGGAGCTGGTTGGTCAGGTCTGGCTCTGTGGAATTCCTCGATGAGTGATGGATCCAGAATGTCAGGTGCGTTGACCCAAGATCTCTCCTCAGGCCCGTAGCCCTCCCAATCCACCAGATATTGGAGCGGACCCCCTCTAAGCCTAGAGTCCAGCAACATATTGACCTTATAGACAGGCGATCCGTCGATTTCCAATGGTGGCGGTGGCTCTTGATGCTCGGCGTTGGGGTCAGCGTCCGGGTGGAAGGGTTTGAGGAGAGATATGATAAGTGGCAGGAAGCTCAAGCTGGTAAGTGACTTAATTGATTTGTCTAATGATCTTGAAAGGGCCAACATACCTGGGGCTTAGCTTCCTGTTAGGTAGCCATAGCTTGACGGAATCTGTGGTGAAGAGCTTGAGGTATGTAATGCTTGATTGGGGGTAGGGCTGCACGTTGTTCACTGATGAGCTGCGCAAAAAATCGTGTGAATATGAACGTGGTTTTGCGCAGCTCGTCAGTGAACAACGGCTCTGTGTAGTTAATGCTGCTCAATGTGAAAGCACGCACATGATGGAGATTTACCGCTGATTATAGAACCGGCTTTACTGATAAGATGCGCATTAAATATCGCATGCGATTTATCGTGCAGCCCTAGTTGGGGGGCAGTCGGCTGATGGTGGTTCTTGCTGATGGGCTCGTTGAATTTCCTCCATGATGTCCCAAGTAACTGGTGCGATGACGACGGTTGGTGGCAGTATAGTTTCAGGTGGACCAGGAATGACAGGAGAGTCATGGCATCTTGACAGAGCATCTGCTTCACTGTTCTTACTTCCAGGTCTGTATGTAACCGTAAACTGGAAGCGTGTAAAAAACAAGGACCATCAAGCTTGGCGAGGATTCAGACGTTTGGCACTTTTGATGTACTCCAGGTTCTTGTGGTCTGTGATAACTTGGAACGGATGGACTGCCCCCTCTAACCAGTGTCTCCACTCTTCAGTGGCGGCCATCATAGATAATACAGGTGCATCTCAATAAATTAGAATGTCGTGGAAAAGTTCATTTATTTCAGTAATTCAACTCAAACTGTGAAACTCGTGTATTAAATAAATTCAATGCACACAGACTGAAGTAGTTTAAGTCTTTGGTTCTTTTAATTGTGATGATTTTGGCTCACATTTAACAAAAACCCACCAATTCACTATCTCAACAAATTAGAATATGGTGACATGCCAATCAGCTAATCAACTCAAAACACCTGCAAAGGTTTCCTGAGCCTTCAAAATGGTCTCTCAGTTTGGTTCACTAGGCTACACAATCATGGGGAAGACTGCTGATCTGACAGTTGTCCAGAAGACAATCATTGACACCCCTCTTTCACCTCAGCAGTGCCACAAACTGATCACCTCCATGCCACGCCAAATTGAGGCAGTAATTAAAGCAAAAGGAGCCCCTACCAAGTATTGAGTACATGTACAGTAAATGAACATACTTTCCAGAAGGCCAACAATTCACTAAAAATGTGTTTTTTATTGGTCTTAAGTATTCTAATTTGTTTTAATTATGTTCTGCCTGTGTGAGTTCTCGAAAAGAAAGCACATGGATATAATTTATCAGGTTGTCCGTGACGCTGGGAGAGTACAGCTCCAATGCCACTGTCAGAGGTGTCCACTTCGACCACAAAGGGGAGATTAGGGTCTGGATGTCGTAATATGGGTGCTGTTGTGAAGCTAACCTTTAAGGTATTGAAGGCCTTGGCTGCATCTCCTGTCCACTTCAGTTTGGATGGTTTACCTTTGAGGAGAGAAGTCAGCGGGGAGGCAATGGAGCTGTAGCCACGGATGAAGCATCTGTAAAAGTTAGCAAAGCCCAAGAACCTCTGCAGTTCCTTGATGGTAGTTGGTTGTGGCCATTCGCGGACTGCCTTGACTTTGGGCTCATCCATTTCTACCCCTTGATGGCTGATGTTATACCCCAGAAATGTCATTTGTGAAACGTGGAAATCACACTTCTCTGCCTTGACAAAGAGTTGATTCTCGAGGAGTTGTGGAAGAACCATCTTGACATGTTGGATGTGCTCGGCGTCTAACTTGGAATAGATTAAGATGTCGTCGATATAAGCTATCACATATTGGTTTAACAGATCACGAAGTATCTCATTAATGAATGACTGGAACACAGCTGGAGCATTGGCTAGCCCATACGGCATAACAAGGTACTCGTAGTGCCCCCTAGTGGTGAGAAAGGCTGTCTTCCACTCATCCCCTTCGTTGATTCAGATCAGGTTGTATGCACTGATGAAATCCAATTTAGTAAAACATTTTGCCTCTCTGAGCTGCTCAAGGGCTGCTGGAACCAGAGGGAGTGGGTAGCGGAAATTGACTGTTAAGTTATTCAAACCTCTGTAGTCGATACAAGGACGAAGTCCACTGTCCTTCTCTACAAAGAAGAAACCTGCAGCTGCTGGAGATGTTGAAGGGCGGATAAATCCATTAAGGCTTCTTCAATGTAACGCTCCATAGCTTGGGTTTCATTATGGGTTAGCAGGTACACTTTACTTTTGGGTGGCATGGCATTGGAAAGGAGATTGATAGCACAATCCCAGGGACGGTGAGGAGGTAATTGGGTGGCCTTCACTTTGCGAAATACCTCAGCATAGTCGTTGTAACAGTCTGGAACTTTAGTGGTTTGTGCGGTGACAGGACTTTCAACACTGGTAGACAGGCACTGAGGTGAAATATCAGAGTGCATACAATGGGTTAAGCAGAAATTTGACCAGTGGGTTAACTCACCATGATGCCAGGAAATAACTGGGTCGTGAATTGATAGCCAAGGAAAGCCTAGGATGATTTCATTTCTTGGAGAGTCGATTACATAAAATGAGATAGCCTCTTGATGGAACAGGCCGACTTGGAGTTAAATGGGGTCAGTTTGTTCCGTTATGCCATCTCGAATGGGTGAGTAATCAACTGCTCGGATCTTGATAGGTGGTTTACAAGATTGAGTGGGAATGTTTTATTTTATGACGATATCTTTGTGAATGAGGTTTAAGGCAGCTCCAGAGTCGATCAACGCTATTAACAAAAGCTAGTTGAACAGGAATGGTGAGTGTTTTAAATGGCAGGAGAAAGAACTGATCAATATTCACCCAGGGTGTGGAATTGGAGAACGTCCGAGTCTTGTGTGGGCACTTCAACCTATGATGTCCGGCCTCTCCACAATAGAAAAACCAAGTTGTGCTGTTGCTGTCAAACTCTCTTCTCCTCAGAGAGCCTTGAGAGACCCAGTTGCGTAGATTCCTGATTGGTGACCAGGGGAACTGAGTGTGACTGGGAAAAAGTTGATGTGCTTGACAACGACCCATGAGCAGGTTTTCTCTTAGGAGTATTTCTCATTAAGTTATCAATCCTTATGGCTAAATTCCCGAACTCAGAGAAAGTTGAAGTCTCACCCTTGCAGGCCAGTTCTGCTTGAAGTTCCTGAGTTAGGCTTCGCTGGAAAACTGCTTTCAGCGAAACATCATTCCATCCACTCTGTGCTGCCAG